GGAAGCGAAACACGGTGATCCCCAAAACCCACTTTGTGGTTCGCATCAGGTGTGTGTCAATTCCGTGGGTGCTTACCGATGTGTCACCTTGACTGACTGTCCTAAGGGCTTCCATCGTGCATCTCCCATGGCTTCCTGCACTGGTACGCATTTGTCACCCTCCACGTCTTTACTTTTAGAAACATTTTAATTCTGTAATTGCAGGATTGACTACCCTTAATGTCATTTCAGAACTCCCGGTTTTTTTCGCACAAAATATCGATACAATGTTAAATGTCCAAGCATGGATAGGGCTCTCCTCACTGGGCATGAAGCCAAGATATTCTAAAAGGATTTACTGATGTGGTATTAAGTCCATTAAAGTCGTAAGCAGGAGAGGTCTGTCCTTATATTTATTATCACCAATTTTGCTATTTTGTGTGTGAAAGGAACTTGTGTCAACATTTAACATCGTGAAATCCACAAAAATTAAATGTTAGGTCTTATTCATGTTCCTAATGATAGTTTGGGCAGTTTGTGACACCTTTGTTGACGACCGTGCCAAACTTATCCTATCTTTAGTATTAACTCATTCTCGGTGTTGAAATCAACGATGTGTTTAAGCATTATACTTAACCTCAATTGGAAGTCAATGTACGTTCAGATTAAACTGTGGAGAATACGATGATGCTGTCACTCAAAAGGATCATAAAGAGGCAATAGTAGCTAAATGATTCAATGTAAGAATGCTTACTAAGTTTCTTAGATACTGATCTGGATAATCTGCACTGCTTGTCACAACAGACATAAACGAATGTGCGAACGGAGAGGCAAAGTGCGGCCCCAACATGCATTGTGAAAATACACTCGGGTCCTATCGATGCCTGTGTGAGCGCGGCTTCAAGAACGTCAACGATTCCGCGTGTGTTGGTAGGTCAATTGTTCCAGTTTTGTCAAACTAAAGTGATGCCTCTGCTAAATAAAATGTTCAAATCAATCTTTCTATCAGCTCGCCATCACACTGGATTCCTTTCCATGCCATAGGTAACTACTTAGACTATAAAAACAGTAGGCATCTTCATTTAGCTGTCATTAAAACCAAATTTCAATGGCAGCTTCTCACAGATATTACTTCCCACATTGGTAGTTTGTCTAAGGAAATCATTTTGCATTTATGCGCTTGTTTTAATGCATACCACTGAGAAAGAGAGAGGTGGGCATCGAAGGTCTCACTGGCATGGATTGGTCAGTCGAGGAGCCTTTGGTCCGTTGCGATTTGACGAATGCCTCGCCCCACTAGACCAGTAGTTGCCCATCTTCACACTTATTAAGCCCAGGTTTTGGACCGCACGTCGAAGGACTCACTCGGGTTGGGCATAAATTAGACATTCTTGGGATTACCCTCATCAATGTAAACTGAAATGAAAGTGTAAGCCATCTGAAAGTACTTGGAGGTCACGAAGGCTTCACCAGAACGCCCTAGCCAGTGTGGACGTTTTCATTTTGTGGACAGAGTAGTCTTGAGGAGGTTTCAACTAGCGGTCTGATTACCATGAGGGACAATCGGTCCGGTTAGTTTGACTCAAAACAAATATATTTGACTGTGGTCTGCCAAAGAGACGTTCTCAAGCTAATCCCGTTCTCTTTCATATTTTACTAAAACTGATTTCGTGATAAGGATCTTGTTAGTACCCTGATCCTTGGACACACCTATACGGATGCAATTTTACATATTTCAACGTCATTTGTGTTAGTATCAGACCGACTTAGATGAACGTAAACAGTCTATTGACAGTTGTAGTAAGCTTTCGATCGCATAGACGCTTAAATCTCCACTCAAAACAGCATAATATTTCAGAAAGTTGAACTTTAATATTTCATTATGTATTCCAGTTATTTGAGAAGCCAATTTGTCACAACCTATCACTTTCTCAACATATTTCTGCACGTAGCTCGTTTGGCTAGTCCAAAGACGATTTTTTCGTGCATTAAATTTCCGTTAATCAATAACTGATCAATGCGATCAGTGGAAAAACCTGTTTACCGGGTGTAACTGCTCATCTTAGATGATTTTTAAAAAGCTAACTTTTGGCTTTGTGGAAAAATCGTTGGTTTGACTAAATTTAGCTAATATCAGACAACGCCCAACTTTGAAATGTCGTCCTTTTTAGACATTAACGAATGCGAAGTTTTTCGTCCCGATGAGTCCTGTCCCGATAAGCGCGCGCGATGTGTGAACACAGCGGGGAGTTACCGGTGCATCTGCCCCGACGGTTTCGTTTGGCATGGCTACCCAGTCTACTCCTGCCGAGGTAATGCAACCTTAGGTCAAATATTGGCCTACTCAGACACCCATGTCAAGGTTTCAGGAATATGGATTTTGACACTACCATCACGGTTTAGACAATCAATGAAGGCTACTAATGGTAATATCGGGAAGGGCGGTTAAAAGTAAGGTGTAGAACACACTGCCTGAGATTTGATAAAATGGTGACCCTTTCACTCTGATCTACGCAGCCGAGATCATGTATGCCAGATACTAATCAAGGCAACTTAATTACTTCCACATATTTTACATATAAGAGGTATTTACTCCAAACCATCAACACTTCGTGGTCGGTTCATAAATATGCATCAGTCAATTTTCCACGTAGCTAAGTTATTAACAAATATCCAGTAGAATATTCGATGAAATCACGTGTCATAATCCTCGTTTTCAGTACTTGTTAGCCATTTTCTTGTTTGCTCCAAAGGCAGTGGGAAATAAAGAAAAAAAACTTAACACACTAAGTACATGCTCCACGACAGAAAAGCAATAATCTTAGCTAAAAGTTGCATGTCTACAATTTGTGGTAAGAAATTTCAACAATCTCCACTGTTCCCTAGACGTCAACGAGTGCGTCCTCGGAATCGACACTTGTGGACCCGACCACCAGTGTGTCAACGACGAAGGCGGCTACCACTGTGAATGCGCAGCTGGATATCGCCAGAACTGGGACAAGAAAACGTGCATTGGTCCGTTTTCCATTACATATTTTGTAAGCTTAGGAATGTGGTCTTGGACCACGCCGAGGCCTTTGTGTTGAAGTGGCCTTTTTAGGCTACTCAGACACCTGAGAAGACAAGAAGGAGACCAGAAATGGCAGACAGGACCGTTTGCCAGATGGCTCAGCCTGGGATAGGTTGTCGATCAACACAGTCTGGGTGGATCTGTAAGAGGGCAAATGGCTGAAGCCGGTAGTGTGGGTGAGGTGCACACACAGGGGCGTATGAACAGACGCGACTGATGACGAAAGCCCAAAAGTTGCGTTAAAACACACAAGTTTAATAGTCAGGAGTAAACATGCGTAAGGAAATATGGGAGCCAATTAAACTGTGCATAGGATTTTGAAGGACGCTGTGTGCTGATTGGTCGCGCTGTCTTATATTTTGCAGATATAAATGAATGCCTGGAGAAGGGTGCGAGTGCACTTTGTAAGAGTGGAATCTGCGTGAACACCAAAGGGTCCTACCGATGTGACTGTCCATCTGGTTTCCGCCTTGGGAAAGGCGGCAAATGCATCGGTAAGTTTGCATTCTTCCCTCAAACGAGTTCCACAATGCCTTCAACACGAGGCTAACTTAAGATCGGCCGTCGAACAATATCATGGCCTGCCGAAGTACGGGGTTGTTTTTCACTTCAACATCTATTTTATAAGTTGACCGTCTGTACTGTGGTTTTCGGTAATCACATCTGTTTCGCTTAATGAAACTACTTATTCAGAGAAATTTGGTAGCTGAAATAGATACGTAGTCACACCTTACATTCGATGATGTTAGGCATCTTCGCGTGTAGGGGTGGCTGGAACTTCTGAAACGCGTAAACCACGCGAAACTAATTCTCATCCGAAGTCAATGTTCCACGTGCAATCTTGGTGGCAGCAAGTTTAAACGTCGCTTTTTATCGTTTTAAGACACATAAAATATGAAACATTTTTGTAATAATGACGTATTTAATGAATCGTGTTGATTCACGTCCAAGAGCCTGGTCGTTGCAGCCTCAAGAACACACGGTCAGTCACGTGAGCCCGCCCGCTCATTTACCCCTCTGCATGCACCACCATTACCCCCTTTTACCGTCTGGCCATTCAGACTTTTGTGTTTTACTACTCAACTCAACTGTATCAGTCAGCAAAAACACAAGAGGCAAACAACAAAAGTTCGCCGAGCGAAAAGGCAGAATCGGGACCCAGAATAGGGCATGGTTGATGAATAACGACCACACACTGATTCGGAGGAGGCAGAATGCCTTGAGGATTGACCTTTCCATTAGCACGTGAGACTTAACTCTTACCGGAAAACGCCGACTGCCAAAGAAAGATGGTCGATAAGCTTTCAAAGTCGGGGTCACCAAATTGTAGAGGGCCCCGGCATGTAGTCCATAAACGCGTATCATTACAGATGTTTCTTCATTTTTACTTGACTTATCATGGACCTTTAAGGGGAGCTTTGGTTAGGTCAAAATTTCTAAGCATTTAAGACTAGTGACAATTAAGAGAAGGCTCCTTGCCAATAAGTCCTCCGATTTCTAAGCAGTGTTAATAAACTATGACTAAGAAAGACGCTACTTGCACGTATTAGGAGGCACTTTTTGAATAGTCCCAGACAAAAGCAACATGAAATTTGCAAAAGTCGAGGGTCTAGTGCTTCAGATCACGTCAGACGCTACATAACAACGCCGACGAAAGGCTGAGTTTGTAATTGCTTTTCAGGGAGGTCATGGTACGAATTGACATTCAAGTGTTGGTCATCCTTCATAGAGCAGCGGCTATTGGCTATTTCTAACGTTGATAAAAAAGACATTTAACTTTAAAACATGTCTTGAAGGGACACTGTGGAGTCTCTATTTGACCAGCGGTTTATTATTAATGACCATATTGAATTTTAAAGCAAGGCGTTTTTAAGTGGTCGTTGGGTATAAACTCCCTCACCCAGGATTGGTTCTGCGATGGGTTTGACGAAAAACGATTGATTGGACTAATTACAAGGATATGTGTGTTTTTAAAGAAACCACACGCCCCTTAACCATAACAACCTATTATACATACTTCGACAGACATCAACGAATGCCATGAGCGCGATGGTATTTGCACTTCTCGCCAGGCACGCGGGATCTCATTCAGTTGCGTCAACCTTTATGGCTCCTATCGGTGTGTATCAGAGCGTTGCCCCTCCATGTACTTGAAGCAGAAAATTCCAAATGGCTACAGGTACGTCATGCACCATTTGATTCGGTATCTTGAAATTCCAAACCCAAAGTCTCTACAAATAAATTTCTTGCAGATGCACCCTGCTGCCTCAATTTGATTGCAATACCTCCGATCCATTCTGCCTCAAGGATAGGCCGCTGCAAATAGATCATCTGCATATAGAATTGCCAGCAATTGTAACCGGGAGAATGGTTCTGGGGGAATTCGACTCATCGTTGGTCAAGCGCGGAACTGTGAATGTCGAACTTCTTGAGCACTTTGCCTATCACACACGAACAAAGCGCCATATTTCCGTGAAGAATTCTTTGAAGGTGAGTCTTGAGACAAAACCGTCACTCGCAGTCACATTTCATATTTGAATTTTAACAATTTACTGAGGTTGCAAAGTGAATGGACGGTCTGCCTAGAAGTCTTTATGTATTTCACCTCATTTTAGTTAGCCATGAAGCCCTCGGACAGGCGGACTGTGCAACTTTTGCTCATCAAACCGATCGAAGCACCAGCCGATGTGTTTGTGTCTGTCCGCTTATCAGAAATCATTGGGCAGAGGAGCAAAATCCGATCAACCACGCGATTTTATTTATACGCAACCGAAAACAATAACTCAAACGCAACCGTATTCAGTCGTGATATCGAGGACTTGAGGAACAGAAAATGAAGCGAGCAGTGTTTATTTTAGTGATCGACAAAGGAGGATGCCAGTTTGCTCCCCACTGCTCCCTCACATCATCCCCATCTCATTTTTAGCCCAAAGTAAGATCCATTTACACAAATGAGTGTCCGCTACTATTCCATTATGCCGCCTCACTATATGTATCAAGCTTTTGCCTAATTCACAAATCACTCTTGAGTATTACGGAAATCATGTAAGCTCGTGCACTATATGTACCATGGCTTGTCTTATAGTGAACTATTCATTAACTACAGAGATATTATAAAAGTAGAAAGTGGCCTTTTGATGGCTGTGGTTGGAAGGTTTAAACACCGCTTAGTTTAAAAGAAGGCGCACCTCAGAGTGAGCCACTTAGTGCTTTTAGTAGTCATTCATTTAGAAATCAATTCTTCGTAACTTTTTCTCATATTTAAGCCGGTGAAACAGAAACGCAAGCCAATTCGTTCACATTCGCAAAGTGCTGTCTAAGGGAATAGTCACGGCTACACATCCAACAGACCCATGCCAGTGAGCAGTGGTTAATGCGTCATTCGTTAAAACTCGATTCGAACGTGTTTTTTTAGAAAAGGAACAGCCCTAAAAGTACTTAAGTGTGTCCACCCAAATATTTGGATTGTTTTCGCTAATTGTAAACACCGTTTGGCTTACTTAGTTTAGGTTTTATTGACTGAATGCATGCACACATCGAGGTGAAACAAGTGAAGAGTCAACAAGTCCATCCCGACCTATTCTATATACTCTATTTAGAATGTAAATGGGTTAGTTAAGAATGACAAACGATTGCGTTGGATGACACAACTCACATCTGACCTAATTTTGTCAGTCTAATGTTCAAAATTGAGGTGACCTCCGCCGGGAGTGCGAGACCAGAATACCAGTAAAAGGGACGCTAACTGCAGCTGTTTTGGTAGGAAGAAAAGGGTAAACAACGATTATATGCCAAATGCCGCACTCATCGTGAGCTTGAAACGGTGGTGTGCTGTTGGGTTTGATTCGAGTTGCTTGATGCCTTGCACCTCTTGGTTTTTACTAACTTATGCTTGCAAGTACCCTACAAGCATACCAACACACATGCACACAATAACGCATTATTTTTAGTGGGAATATAAAAGATTGTCCTCCTAATCCTGTTGCCTCCTTAACATTACCCTTTTAATTGGATGTAAAAGGATGTTAACCTGTCTACAATTGAGTATCATTAAGCCGCATTCTATCAAAAGGATTAAAAAGTTATTTTTCTTCATAATTTTATTTAAACTAAAAAAAGTACAGACAAAATACTTACCCCAATGCTATCCCGGACATCTGATTTTATGTCCGGTGAAAGCAAAATTTAAGTTTTGACTTTCAGTGGTGAATAACTTATGTAAAAATGTCACTTCTATTTTCCATGTTAGTTTAACATTACCTTTATTCGCTAATTTACTTTAAATGAAGTTCAATCAATTTGTACCATTTGCATGATGACCCATGATTTTTATCCTGGTAAAGTTCAAAATATTTGTCAATAATATTGCTATTATTATTATTATTATTATTAACTCAGCTCACCAAAACTTCTGGCAGATACTAAATTGTAGCTATTGGGTTGAACTACAGCACTCCTGAAAGGTTAAACATACTTTACTGAGCCACTCATTAGTGTATTGTTTGGCGTGGACTTTAAATTACAAAGGGCTTTTTTAATTTTCTGATTTGGGTTATTTCCAAACAAGATATATTTTCAGTTTGGAAACTAGTAAAAATTGTGCTTTTGATAAGTTGACGGTTATGCAATCGTACGTACCAGATAAGAAAAGGTGATTTTATCCTAAATTGTGTTGCCTCAAATCATTTTAACGATGGCTGATTTGTTGTTTACAGGGCCACATTTTTAGTGGAAAACTTGATGTTAGTACAAGGACATTAATTCAGTTTTTTCCTTTTTCGTCGAATAAAGGATAGCTCCGATGCAGGCAGCTTCATAACACATTAAAAGTGAGACACATTTTCCCGAAAAAACAATTATTTTAACAAACGTTTGCACAGCTGAGTACTAACATTACAACAAAATTTAAGCATACAGTCACATAAGCCATGCAGCGAGAAGTCTTTGGGAATACCAATTCCATAAATATTTTTGCCTCTTAATTTAACTTCCTTGTTATTATGCAAAAGAAACTTTTGTGACACTTAAACCAGAGATTGGCTGTTATGTCATTCAAAATATCAAAAAGTAACTAGTTCCACTGTTTCACTTAATGCAAGCAAAACTTGTGTCGTTTGTTAATATTGAGCTATAGCAAGATTTAATTACATGTCAGTTAATGATATTAGGCTAAAGGTACAAGACAGACTAAACAATCCTGCTTTCCATGCAAGCGAGACCTAAACTGACCAAGAGTATGTGAAGGCATCGAACACGAATTTTCTAGCAATGGACTAAATTTCATAACCCACAGTGTTTTGAAAAGATTTCGCAATTAAAAAGGGTAGCATTGAGACATTTTTGACAAAAGTTTATTATCTTTAAGGTCACTAAAATCTTGGATCTACTTCGACATTTCAGAATATGATTTCAAACGAAACGGAGAAGATATTAGCAAAGATTGTTTCAAGTAACAACATAAAACTTCTAGACCCCAACTGCTGTGGTGCTGACTGGTACTTACGTAATTCGTAACCCAGAAAGTTCCAAGTACAAGTACTCGAGATCAAACTTTTAGCAAATAGTATCAGGAAAGAGATTATTGTTTGTTTTTTGCTCAACTCCGAACTAATGACAAGGATAAATCACAGTTCCACATAAATTTCCATGTGCATAGGATATTTCAAAACCCTGGTAGTGAAAGTTAATAAAAACAAAGAGCACATGTGTCCTAAATTTTTATAATTTACCGGTTTTTACTTGAAAAATCATCATATCGTCCTAAAATGTCATGATCAAGAATCCATCACTTTGGATTTATCAAAGGTCATAATAATCCATAACTTAACAATAATTCTTAGAACTAGTTGATATATTGTTTCTAAGAAGCTTGACAACGCATGTAAAGACACATGGTTGACTATCATCCAAGGATCGCATCACAATTGAGGGACATTCGTTTCTAGGAATAAAAAATACTGTGACGGCATTGTTCCAAAAAGACTAAGCCTTCAAGCATCTAAAATGAGTCAAAAACGTTTTTGTATGTTTTAAAATAGCATGCATCTCTTTTAATGTAAAAGAAAGTTTGACTCAAATGCTATTCTGTACAATTTGTTTTATTATGGCACGTCTTGTAAGACACTTGTCGTAGTTGTCGACCTTGGCATATATTTCGGGTATTGGTTGGGTATCTACCCCCTTCTTCCCGGAGTATTGGAGCATTGTGTGCAGCCGGTTAGAAGGCGATTTACGTATCTGTTACAAGATGTATTTTTAAGGGAGGAATCCTGCTAACAAAGCCAAGCACATTTTAGCGCCATTCGCTACTCTGAACTACTCCATTTAGTAAGTACTTTTATCGTTGCTCATGCTTTGGGTGCGCTAGACTATCCGTCAAGTACTTACTATCATCTTCCACATCGTACTCAGGTTTTATTTATTGTTCTGTATTTAATTTAGCTTTAATTGTACGCTCATTGTGTACAGCTAAAAACAATGTAGATTAGATGAGCTTGATTATTTTTAATCATATATAGTTCTTAAATGTATTATACGTCTTTGATGTAGCAGATAGGTACGATACCTTTTTAATTGATATTCAAATAATTTGGCCTCGGTGTGGAGTCAAACAGGAGGTGGTCGTGGTCGTCGTAGTGTTAGCAGTATGTTTAATCACGACCGAATTGAAATTATAGAACGGTTTTCTGATGATGGTTTATAGTTAAAATTTACTGTTTGCAATGAAGTGTTGGAGACTGTGAGTTCCCGTGACTTTTCACCAACTGCATTCTCAGCATTTTCTCAATGATTGTGTTAGTACGTGTGTATGTCAGTAGGCTCGTTACCCATATTAGTACCGAGTGAATATATAACCATGTAGATGTAAAAAAAACCATAAATGTGAATTACAAAGCACCAATGCCACGAGGTGAATAGTGCCTCTTGGAGACATGAGAACTAGTGGTTTTCATAATGCGAACTTACTAACGCTATCCAGTATACTATACGGCATTGCTATGCTTCGTGGCAATTTGGTAATTTACTTATAGCGCCTCTACCTGAACTCTGCATGTAAAATGATTCTGCTTTCTCTCCAATAATGTTTGATGATGTAAATATTAAAGGACGAGGAGAACGTTTATTTCCACAGATGACAACTGTCTAAATTCCACTATAGTTTTTTTTCAAGCGCCACCAGTGCAATTTTAAGCCGATCTTAATGTTTTTCTGCTCGACTGTCCATTTGCACTTTTCATACATGCAATGTTTATTTGTTTGGCATCATTTTTTTCCTTTCTTCGATTTCGTGTGAAAACAATTTCATGGTTCGTCATTATGCTATGGTGTGCACATAGATAACGCTAAGTGCCTTTTGATCCTCTGTGTTTACTCATGCTTTAGTAAACTGTTGAACTTCTTTTATTTTAGCTATTAGTATTCCATAGCATAAATTCACCGGTTTATGCGATCGCTTCTCTAGAATTTAATGCCATTCATTTATAGCAAAGGAATTAATGGACGAATCTACATAGTTGTACACAATTTTTATAACCTCTAGATGGTCAATCAGACTTACTCTAGCATTTGGCATTACTTAACATCTTAAGAACTGCAGAACATGTTTCTATGTCGACGCCAGCTAGTTCATTTATGCTATACTTCACAGACTTTGAGTATACAGCTCGATTTCATGTAGCAACAAATTTGCTGTTCGCCAATGTGCTGTGAGGAATTATTTCTCATGTTGGTTCTCGCGTGTGGTGTGTTTACGTGTCTAAGAACTATGCGCCAGCCCACGCTGCTATCAAGTGTCTGGCATAGTTACCACCATCAAGGCCAAGTTACTCTCTAGGGGCCAATGTGTGCGCCTCGAGTATTTCTAGCTTTAATTTTCAGTATGGAAGAAGGAAGCCGTCGTGATTTGTGCTCGATTTTCATTTTTTAATTACAGATATGTTTCTATAAGCTCCTCTTTGTTTTTTGCATGTTTAAGACTAAAGCCAAGTAAAAATCACTTGTGACGTCTGTTAGATGAAGGCCTTGTCTGAATTTAGACATTCATCTCGCTCAGTGTACATTAACGCAGTCAAGCTAAGTCGCCTTTTATGAAGCCAAAATTATCATGCCACTCCGCCTGACTTTCAACTTGTACGCAGCAGACATAACAAAGGCATGTTTTACGTTTAAAAGCAGGTTTAACCAAGGTCGTCTGTTTTGTTATTTTAGTTATTTTACTGTAATAACGACATGAATGAGTGTTCAAGCGAAATAAAAAATCACCTGAACGACTCACCCGCTGTTTTCGTCGGCTGGCTTGAATCTCATGGTCTCGACGCCAGCACCTGTCGTCTGTTTGAAGATCACATGATCGACGGGTTCACCTTCGCTCTGCTTAATGAAGGCGATCTTCGTAAAATGGGCATCACCCGGATGGGCATTCTCAAGAAACTCCTCTTCCTAATTGAGTTGTGTTGCTCCCGTACTCACCAGGGCCACGGCCTCGGCCTCGAAAGCCGATATCTCCACCGTTTTTCCACCTCAAGCACTGACTCCAGCTCTGAATCATCCCTCACCTACTCCCCTAAACGCGTCAGGACTCTCCACACCACTCCCATTTGCGAATCAAGCCCTAAAATCTGGAAAGTCGCTCTAAGTGGGGTCTATGCCTTCCTCTCCCTGGGACTCACCTCCTTTGTCATGGTCCTTGCGCACGAACGTCTTCCTGAGATATCGAAGTATCCACCGCTGCCCGATATTCTACTCGACAACCTACCGTATATTCCATGGGCGTTTGAGGCCGCCGAGTTGATCGCGCTTATGCTGTGCCTTATTTGGATCGCGGTTCTCATTTTTCACAAGCATCGTCTAATTCTGTTGCGGCGTTACTGCTCCCTTCTTGGAACGATTTTTTTACTGCGTTCTGTAACAATGATTATCACCTCGCTGAGTGTGCCTGGAAAACACCTACTGACCGAGTGTCGTCCCTTCGTCTTCAACTCCTACCGCGACCGGTTTGCACGGGCTGCCGAAATTTGGTTTGGAATGGGTAAGTCAAACCACCACGACTCATTTGAAAGCATCTAGTTTGCATAGTTAGGAAGTTGCGAAATGAAATCCAAAGAAGAGGTCTCTTTTTTAGTCCCTTCGAGTTGTGTTGATGTTTAGTTTCTGGATCTCGTCGAAGGCCAAAGGTCACCACGATTTCACTTAGCAGTGATCGCACCAATGTAAACCACGCATTCAAACGCGTAAGGCTGTACTTCTGGACTGGTTAATGTAACCAGAAAGACTTCTAAATGTCTTCATGTCGCCATTTGTAACCAATGACTCATTGTGAACTTAATTTCGCCTTCAGTAAATGGCCTAATTCCCTAGATCACAAATTCGTTTTCGAAGCGCTCTGTCCAAAATGCAATGTAAATTTTTTTCCCGATTAAAATCAACCAAATAAAACTGAAGCTATTTTTCTTTAAATCAGAATGATTTTAATCTACACCATGCAAATAACTTTTTTTAATAAATTATGTTTAAAATACCACCGTGCAAAACTACAAACTGCTTGCTGTCTTGCTCCTGGCTTACCAACGTACTTTTGTCATCAGTAGATTGCCGTAGATTTTTGGCACACCAAGCACGGAAGAAGCACGCAATCCAGTTGCTCCTCGACTCATCTACTCCACTTATTTTGTACGATTATTTTTGGTTGGATTCGTTGCTCAAATGAGTACTAGTGCAGAGAAAAAATTTACGAATATTTCACCTCTTATGATTGGTCAACCTGGGGTGTATGGTTGGGTTTTGTTGCCTTTCTTAGGCATGACGCTGCGGGGCGTGCGAACCTGCGGCGACTACATGTTCAGCGGGCATACCACGGTGATAACCATGCTTAACTTCTTCATCACCGAATACACGCCTTCCAGCTTCTATCGCCTCCACAACTTCACCTGGGTTCTCAACGTGTTCGGAGCCTTCTTCATCCTCGCTGCACATGAGCACTACTCAATTGATGTTTTTGTAGCCGTGTACATCACCTCTCGACTCTTCCTCTACTACCACTGGCAGGCAAACAACCACTACTTGCTTCGTCGAGACAAGAAACGAGCTCAAATCTGGTTCCCGCTTCTGTCCTTCTTCGAGTCTGATGTTCGTGGAGTGGTCCCTCACGAGTTCACGAATCCTCTACGTGATGCGGCCTACCTTTGGAAGAAGTGCCGCTTACGGTGTATCCTGACCCCGCTAGCTGAAGTCTCACTTTTATTCACTGCCAACGCGGCCCCCTCTACCTCCCCTACTTCTCCTCAACAAGAGAAGGCAGAATAGTGGCGTACTGGACTTAATTTTATATCGCTCATGCTTATTCTGAAAACCAACTTTGCCTTTTAAATTCCCCCATATTGCACCTTGTTTCTGGGTTGTGCATTTTTTTTTCATTTAGTGTAACCCATAAAAGTACTTAACGGAACGGGTTCCCTGATGTTTACCTTTATTCCTTATAACACCTGATTTTAACCAATCTCTTGAGGCCTTGCTCAATCACAGCAACTAAACTAGCTAGTTATGCGAACCCGTTGAGCGGGGTGATGTGGGCAGCTTAATTGTGTTTGTCTTGACCCACAGTGTGAATACTGGCTTGTCTCGATGAATAGCTGTGGCTTGATACACTGTCAAGCGTAGTTGCCGAAGGCGGATGTGGTTGTCGCTCATGGCAAGCTAGGTATTCTGCTGGTTGACATTCAACTCTGGCTGCACACACTTGCGTTGATTTTTGGATTGTGCCGAGACCGGCGCTGTAGTCCAACTGAGACTAGGTCCCTGCCAAAGCTTGCATTGATTAGGATCGACTGCTGCCTTTCGGCAACACGGGGTCGAGGTGACAATTGACTCTAGTGAATGAGTGGCAGCTGTTATTGTTTAATCACCCATAAAATAGTCGGTAGCTATCAGTCAGGGAGCTGACCTCCTTCTAGGTTTTCTAAGTTGACTTGAGCGATTCAACAATCCCTTGCATCTATTTCCCTTTTTGGAGTTAAATCCATCAGGCACTCAGTTACCTTATGAATATCATTATTTGCCTGATCAGCAAGCAGTTTATTGTGGTGAATCTCCAGCCGCACATATGGAGACAGGGATAGTCGTGTGCCAAATTAGCTATTAAGAGCCATTAAAAGGAACGTTTGTCATTTCACTTTCCTTGTAGATGCAAAGTGCTAGAGATGTCGGTGTCTCACGGATTACTTTTTTTCTCACCACCAAGTCAGTACTACTTTGTGTCATCGGCACGTGGACAGGGGATACGTGCGCCGCCATGGTTTAGACGGCACTGAATCAAGAGAGCCTGCCCATAATTTGAACTACTGTTAGATGAATTAACTTGATGAAAATAGCAGCCTTTAGAGATATCGGCGAATTCCCTTAATTATCGCCTCCTACAATTACTGAAATCGTGGGTGAGAATAGGCCCATTTTTGTCTGGCAGCGTTTACTGAAGCAAACCGAACTTACGCGTGGTCCATCAATGTCATGATGTGGCCAGAACCCACAGCTAATTTATGCAGCAGACCGCAATAAGTAAAGCAAACGCTGGTTAACACGGAGTTCTTTAACAAACCAATGATCCAACATGCACTAATGAGTTTCAATTGTGTATGGGGTGTTTACTAGTTGTCATGATCGCTTCATGCTGAAAATGCGCGTGTACGCTCAGTCTTTTATCAAACTATTGCAAACGCCGCTAACTTTCTCCGAAAACACCACCGACGCCAACTTGTATTAGGCTGAGTGCTTTAAAGTAACCAGATTTTTCACATATTCCGCTGCAGTATCAGACTCCAGGCAACAATTCTGAAGCCCTACAAACCTTAGAAGCTGTGTGCGGGTCAGTGCAACGGGGTTGTCTCTTTATTGCACTAATCTTATTTAGTGTTCGAAGTCGCGTGCAAACCCAAGAGTACGACAACCTGCGAGCGAGTTGATTTGTGTAGAATAGGTAATGTTGGGTTTTTTGTTTTACCTCGTACTGAATGTGCTCTACCAGTCTATGAATGCTATTCCCCCGTCATGTCGCCGTTATTTTGTCTTAATGCAGCTCGACGTTTCGTGTGTTGGCCTTCATTTTATTGCCTTCTACGCTCTGGCGGT